ATAAGTGGGGTCAAATTATGGAATGATTTAAGTGTGGACATGAAAAACAGTACTAGAACTGAGGAGTTTAAATATAAATATAAATGTATGTGTCATTCAAGATATATGCAAGAATTAGAGATTTAATCAAAAATCATGAAGGAATCACTCTGTTTTAAGTTTTCTGTGTATTACTTGTTGGTGAAGAAGAGAATCAACTATGTAGAGATACTGCTTGCAGCCAATGATGCATGAAATTTTTTGTATAAGATGATGTTCTGGGGTAGGACTGGATAAGTCTGACTTCTTCCTACTCCATTCAAACATGTGCTGGTATAAGCAAACTGATTCTTGATTAGCAGTGGTTGGCTTGTGTAATTATGTGTGTGTGTTGATGTCATTTGTTCTGCATGTTTGAAAGAATAAATCAAATCAAATCAAATCAAATCAAATACCTTGCTTGTTGAACTCAAAGTCTAATGGCTTACTGGGCGGCATAGCAGGAGACCTGTTTAGGTAGTCACTGTGGTCCCAGGCCACAGACAAGGCGGAAAAGGTTCCTCTTTGCATCTTGGAGTTTGTGTTTGAGGGCGACCGGTGAAAAAGGCAGCATGGAAAATTTCTAGATGTTGGGAGAGGCGCCAAATGCGATTATTCCTCCAGAGAACCATCCTGGAGATTTTGTCGGTTGTATGTAATTAGCTGCTAAATCAGAGGTGGCAGCAGCAGTTTGTAGTGTTAACAGCAGAATTAGCTCATTTGCCCTAATTCCGCCATTTAATACAAATGGCAGAGGGGGCAGATATTAAAATTTTATATGGGCCGCTTTTTCCAAATGGTGCATTGGATAGATATAACAGTAGACTGCGTGTCATGTGTAACATGACATAAGTGTAGTAATATCCCCAATGCTCTAAACCAGTGTTTGTCACAGGGTGGCTCACGGCTATGTTGTAGGTGGATTACAGAGACATGGTGAAAAAAATAAAATAAAAATGTTGTGGATTCAAATGCTTAGGTAGTATCTAATGTGGGGCTTTTGTTTTGAAATGCGTGCATGCGTGATATGCAGAGGCCTAACTTTGCCGTGACAAGCCTTGATTGGTGGTTGACAGTGTACACTCACTGAAGATAGGTCCACATGTTAAGAAGATGGTGAAGTGAAAATATGATTTGAACTATGTTAAGCATGGATTTATTTACATAGATGATAAAAATGGACATAAGCGTCAATGTGTGATATGCAGTGAAGTACTGGCACAAGAAAGTATGAAGCTGTCCAAGTTCAAACACCATTTAGAAACAAAACACGCCGCTTACAAAGATAAACCAGTTGAACTACTTTCAAAGACTACTTCAGGACCTGAGGACCACCCAGAAGACACTGCTGTCCATGTTCCAAATCAGAGCAGGCACTACGGGCCTCATACCTTGTAGCTCAACACATAGCAAAGGCCAAGAAGCCACATACAATAGCAGAGGAACTCATCTTACCTGCGGCCCTGGATATGGTCAGAGAGGTATTAGGCCTGTCAGCAGTGGACAATTTGAAGACCATACCGCTATCTAATGACACCATAATGTAGTGCATTGAAGACATGTCAGCCAACATAAAACAACAGACCTCAGCACGGATTCAAGCCTATTTGTTTTTGGACTCTGTGGGACTGCGTTGGGACAATTGTGTGGGGGTAACAACTGATGGCGCAGCATCCATGAGTGGAAAAAAATCAGGAGTTGTGAAGAAAATCCTGGAGCAAGTGCTGAATGTGACGTGGACTCACTGCTTTCTTCACTGAGAAGCACTGGTGGCTAAGGATATGGTGCCAGTGCTTGATACAACACTGAAAGATGCCATAAAAATAGTGAACTACATTAAACCAAGAACAGTGCCAAGAACAGCCGCTGTTTCACACAGCTGTGCAAAGACCTGGGATCAGAGCACATCCAGTTGTTGTATCGTTCAGACGTTTGCTGGCTTTCGAGGGGAAAGGTAATGTCACGTTTTTACGTGCTTAAACATGAAATTGGCGCTTTCCTCTCACACAATAACTCCCCGTACACTGAGATGCTCAGTGATGAACTCTGGCTCGTGTGCGTTGCGTATCTTGCCGATGTGTTCGAGCACCTCAACACTTTAAATTTGTCTATGCAGGGGAGAGGACACAACATCTTTGAACAGAATGACAAAGTCATTGCCTTCAAAAAGAAGTTGAGGTTGTGGATAAATCACTGACTAAAAACAGACTTGACATGTTTCCCAACACTTGCCACGCAGCAGGAGAGCTACAGTAAATACAGCGGCCAAAAATGCCCTGAAAATAACTATCACTGCGCATCTGACCAGTCTACATGCTCGCTTTGAGGACTGCTTTCCAGAGAAACACAACAATAGTCACTGGATAAGAGATCCCTTTGGAATCGACATGGAAAGGGTTGTGTTGCCAAGCAGCAAGGAGATTCAGATGGTCGAGCTGTCATGTGACCAGATGCTGAGAAAGAAATTTGATGAGGTAAGCCTCCCCCATTTCTGGTGCAAATACCTGATGTCTGAGTATCTCTCCCTTGCTACATTGGCAGTCAAAGCAATCCTACTGTTCACAACAACCTACAGTAGCTGTGTGAAAGTGGCTTCTCCACTTCGGTACAGCTCAAGTCAAAGCAAAGGAACAGGTTGGACACTGAACATGATCTGAGTGTAGCTCTGTCTAATATCAGCCCAGACATTGAAATGCTTGTCAAAACTAAAGGACAACCACAGCTATCGCATTTGTAGTGGTTTAAGTTACATGTTAATATGGATTATGTAATAGAATAGTGTTTATGGGTTCACTTTTAAGTTCATGTGAGCTGAACAATGGGCTTATATAATTTGGCCAAGATGTTTCCTGTTTTTGAGTATATCTCAGTGTGTTGTCTCCTAAAACTGGAGACAGGAAGCTAAGTTCATAAATTGACTAACAGCCTAAGAAAAACTGTGGATAAAACTGTGAGGCTGAAGGGTGTAGGGAGGAAGAAGGCTGTGACAGTACTGTGTGCTCCTACAGACCCAGGCCTGGGGGGTAGGGGAAACGAACTCTAGACTGACTGGACCCGGTGGCCAAGACTGACTATAGCGCTGTGATAATCTTCTTATTTAATACTGTACCTATCCCATTGCAGGACGAGTGATTCTGTTCTCTGTTCCCTAACTACCAGATTACCTATTCAACTACTACTCTGTTCAGAATAATTGTAATATTAAATGATTATTTAAATTGGGATGATTTGGCTGAATTAATTTAGTCAGTATCACATTCTAGCCACAACACATTATTTCACTGTAAAATAAAATCTTGTTTAAATGTTAAGTGAAAAGAGACTATAAAGTATTATCATGGTGTGTTTGCAGTTCTGCATTCAGTTGTATAGATATACAGCACCCTGTTGTGTTATTCGACTGTTGTATTTATGTTGTGTTATGCAACAGTTGTGGTGTTTTTGAGTAACATGTCCACAATGCAGGCAGAAAAATCTGACACAAAGGCTGTACTGACTATGTTTTTAAAGAAATGCTTTATAATTTAATAAATTTATTTGAAATATTGTACTGGTGGGTCGCGACTTGACAAGTGGGTTGGAAAGTGGGTCCCAGGGTGGCACCAGTTGAGAAACACTGATCTAAACTAGCATGAAAAGTTGGGTGTGCTCCAAATCTCGACTAGCATGTGTTGTTTCTATGGGATGGGCGTGGTCTCCATGAATTGTAACCACACTATGTAACACGTAGTGTTATGAAACACGTAACATGTAGCCACGGCCAAATAGTGAAAAATTTAAGGGGGTCTGAATACTTTCCGTACCCACTGTAAATATGTTCTGACCTAAAGAAAAGCCTACTTGCATACTTGCTTTCAGTGAGCAGGAAACGTGCGCTTGAACAAAGACAAATGTTACATGGGCATCAAATGAACATCACGTTATTGATGTAATGAACCAGAGAGTCAGCGGAGGCATTTTATAAAGATGATTAGAGAAAATAAAAAGCAGCATGTTGCAGGTAATAAGAAAATGGACTGTTCCAGAATTTTAATATTTCCAGCTACTTAGAATGGCTGCAGGATTAGATTGCAATAAGATGAATTACATTAACATATAACTCAGCTATGGATCTTTCTTCTTTTCCCACACAGGAACACAGTATGAGCACATTTCAGTTCTGATGGTGCCAGCATCTTCAGTTTGGGTTTTACTGCACATGTGCCTAGAGTGAGCCCACATCACATCTCCTGAGATGATAGCCTGACATACTTCCCCTTTCAGCTCCCTTCCTCAGAGTGCCCCTCCCCACCTCCTGCAGGAGATGCATGGATGAGCAAGATTATTCTCCTTATGGGGTGTTCCCCATGCATGACTGATGTTTAGATTAATATCCTTGACTGAGTCCTTCTCCACGGCGCAGACAGCTGGCCAATCAGAGTGCAGCCGCCCACGCAGGAGTCCATTGATTTTCCCACCACTCTGACAAACATAAACTTCCCAGGCTGATGCATTTATTTGTTGTCCATTTGAATGCCACCTCCTTGGGACAGCTGTCTACATCTGTCTTTTATAAAATAGCTGCACCCTAATTAGCAAAAGTGAGCTTGCTGCCAGGCATTTATGTTAACAAGACCTCTTAGGAATTCATTATTTAAATGTTTTTGATATGAGAATGAAGAAAACCTACACAAACAATCTCGGCTTCTCAGCTGGCAATCAGGCAAAGGCGGGGTACACCCTGGACAGGTTGCCAGTCCATTGTAGGTGATGTTTATTTTGTTTTCTAATTTCCAGGTCCATTGTTGCTGTGGCAGACCTAGTAAAATAAAATGATTGAATCAATATTTAATAAACAAGAGTATATAACTTAACGGGCCAGAAACAGAGAAATCCAATCAATCCTATAATATGAATTCTAATGAAATAAATGGAAGCAAAACCAAAACAAACAAAATCACTGTGAACATTTATGTTAAGCTATAATGACGTGTAATGATTTTTATGTCAGCATTCCAAATGTGGTTTGGCAGCTGCACAGAGCTGATCTGGCTCTAAATGCGTTGGTAGTGCAATATGAAAATGATTCTGAATATGACAATGAAATACTGTTTGCAGTCTTTCATATTAGTGCACATTAAACAGCTACAGAGCAAGAACCACTTAAAATGTTTGTCTCTAAAAGGTTTGGATCTGCAATGGAGTGGTTCTCTGTCAGATATGTCTGCATGTGGCATGAATGCTGAACACAGGGACAACTCAGACATGGAGGGAAAATGGTAATATCGCCCCCTGGTGACACAACACTGAGTAAAGGCCTGTTCTTTGGAAAGAGATTCCAAACTGTACTGCAGATTCAAATTCAAAATTCATGTATGAAGATTGTGGTGTGAATCTTTGGTGTTAAGTTTTATCCCCAAGTTCAGACATAAGCTTATAGTATCCAGAACATTCGGAGCATTACAGACAACACTGACAAAGGTGATACAGGATTTTGTGTATGTATGTTTTTGTGTTAGATATAATTCATTTTATGTTTGAACAAGGGTGTCAATTCAGCAGTGACAACACTTGGCTTATAATATTATGCAGTATGTAAAGGTGGAAAGTCAAACCAATTTTGAATTCTAGTGCTTTGGGTTGACTCGGGGACTAGAAACTGATGCAGCTCTGTATGATCTTAAAATAGTCCCTTTTTTCAGGGACGACTTGTCTTTATTATGAATATAAAAATCTGTCACCTGTTAACCAAACCAAACATGATTAGGGTACCTAAGAAAAACAAATGACACAAAATAAATCTAACAAAACAAAAAAGTACAAAAATAAAGTAAAAATGTATGGCTGTAAGTTTTTTGACATATGGGTAAATTTGTTTTTTAAAAACTAAATATCAAAACTGTGTATTTTACACTGGAGAAAACAGAGGCTAATGTAAAGAAAATAACAGCCTTTTCACATAAATTATATTAAAGAAGCTGTAAAATATTTATTCTTTATAACAGGAGCTGTGCAGCTGTTTTGTTTTTACTAAGTTACTATCTGACTGTTTTGTTTTCCCCCTAAGAAGTTCAGCATCTCATACAATGAGACAAGCGCCGTTTTTTATTCCTCAAAATGAAGTGCTGAGAGGACAGTTGATCTTTAACCTTCCTTCTGCTGCGCTCCACATTCTGGAGTGAGATCTGGACTTTATAGCTAACACTGGATTTTAAACCAAGTCAGAGTTTTTTTCCCTTATGAGGATTACCCTTTAAGAATGCTGAAAATTGGATCCGTTTATGGGTAATGGGAAAG